TATGTATTCTTTTGTAGCGCATGTAAAATATATATCATGAGCATTTTTCCAGTACATGTTTTTGTAACACATGAAGAAAAAACTTAACACCTGGTTATATCCCTCTTAATGATGTTGGTATAATATGTTTTTATTAAATTTCATCATGAGTGATCAATGTCTTGTTCCTTCTGAACAAAAAGCTTCTGGGTAAGTAGGCACTTAAGAGTTGATCAGTTGTTTTTAGCCTTAATGGTGAGAACTTTTCTGATTTGCAGTTTTAGGGGGCCTAGTAGGCAATACTCCTTTCCCTAATCACATTGAGCCATCTGAGGGGAAAGAAGGGCACCAGGCAGTTGGAGATTAAAATAAACATCAGTCTTACTGCTAAGAAAAAGGTGGGTTGGAGGTTGTTGCTTAGTTACACAGTGAGCATTGATTGGGTTGCTTGTAGTCTCTGTCCAGTACATTTTGACCTTGAAAAACTGCCCACTAAGGGAAGAATTTTATCTGCAGAGCATGTGCTGTGTCCTCTAGATCATTGCCTTGTTATTGTATCATTCATTCATTCTTGCTTCTGGATGGCATACTTGTTTTATTTAATTTTGAACCAGTTTAGTTTTACTAATTTTACATAACTTTTTGAGATTTGCCCTGAAGATTGGCAGTTTGAGGCTCTGATCCCCGGGATTCCCAACAGCAGAAGATTGACTGGCACAGGACTATGTAGTACTCCATTAGAAGTAGGAATCAGTAGTATTATTTAAAAAGATGGTTGGTAAATGCAAGTGGAGTTGTTTGAAATTAGTTTCCAGGGTCTTTTGATTTTCTGTTTCTTCTGTTCTCCCCAGTTTTTGGAGGTCTGTGAGCTGTATCTAGTACATTCATTTTGTTTGGTTTTGGTGGTACTGGGGTTTGAACTCAGTGCTTTGCACTTGCTAGTCACGTGCTGTACAGTGAGAGCCACACCTCCAGCCTCTAGTACAATTTTTGAATGTGCCTGTTTAAGATTTAGTATTCCAACTTACAGCGTATTAGGGTCTCAGGGGCATACTGTGTTCTTGCATGCTTTGTCTTACTTGGGACACATGTCATGTTTCTCTGGATTCTTTGGGGGTAGTACATGACTATCCTCTTCTTGGGATGTTTACCTCCTCCTCACCTTATATTTTAAAGGACATAGGGACTAAGTTTTGATCACATTCTTGAACTTGTGCTCAATATGTTTCTTTTGTGTTCTAGTAACCTTCTTCGGTACTGAGTTGTTTCTTATTGAAGCAGTGGGAAATTCCCTCAAGGTCCCTGTGGCTGCTGGTGCTCCTCCTACAGCTGCTGCTGCTTCATTCCCAGCTGATTGACCTTCCTTAGTGTGACTGAGCTTTTAAGGACCAGTTTCCTATCTGTGGACTAACTGAAGCCATGAAGATACTCTTCCATGGCTGGTTGCAGAATTTCAAACCCATTTAGAGTTGAAATGATAATGGCTTTCAGAAGCAAGAGCTGTGTACCATCCCTGAATACATCATCAGTTTTTTCTTTATCCTCTCACAAGTATGATTTCAAATGTAGCTGAGTGTTCCTTTTGAACCAAAAAATAGCTGCTGGATATTGCCAGTTAGTAGTCTTTCCCACATACTTTTTAACTACCATTTTGAAAGTGGCTGGCTTGCCATGTTTGATAGATGGGTGTAAAGTTTTTGCTGGGACACAAACATGCATATTGTGAATATACAACCATACTGTGTAGACTACAGGCTCTTGTAATTGCTTCATAAAAAGTAGCAGCTTGTCTGAAAGTTTTGGTGGCATGACTAGATCTGTATATCAATCACCCACTCTTTGTACCAAGTGCTTTCCCAGTAACTGACAGGTTCATCTCTCCACTGCTATGTACCTTGGAGGCTTAGGCCATGTGTTTAGGTTAGCTCAAGGTGATTATACTTACACCCTTTAATCTAATGAGCTATCTATTTAAAAGGACACCCCAATTTCAAAGATACTAAGCTTTAAAAATGTGTATTTTGGAATTGATGAACTGTATGCTGTTAAGATTAGCACTAGACAGAAATTAAAACATTAAAGAGCTCTACAGAACTTGGCACGGCCAAAACTGGTGTTCCAGCTCCTGATTGTTTTAAGTAGCTTCCCCACCAGCTTGTGCTCTGTATTGTATTATGTCATGGATTCACTGTAGAACCTTGTTGGCCTAGGTCATGACCAAAGTCACCTGATTCTCTCCCAGTTTATTGCTTTCCCTCTTAAGATATTTAATTGCCTTTTGTTGGTACTGGGGTTTGAACTCAGGGTCTTGTACTTGCTAGGCAAGTGCTCTACCACTTGAACCATGCTCCCTGCCCACCCTCCCCTACCCCTACCTTTTTTTGCTTTAGTTATTTTTCAGGTAGGGTCTTGTGTTTTTTACCTGGGCTGGCCTGGAATGCGGTCTTTCTACTTATGCCTACATGTAGCTGGGATGACAGGCTCTCTCTATCACAACCAGCTTTTTGTTAAAAGATAGGGTTTCACTAACTTTTTGCTTATGCTGGCCTTTAACTGCAGTCTTCCAGATCTCTGCCTCCCAAGTAACTGGGATTATAGTGCCGGGCCTCAAGTGTTTAATTCTTGATCATTCTTTTATGATGTGGTTTTATCAGGAGGTTATCAAAATTCTGAATTATTCCATTGCTTGGGTGGTTTTTTTTTTTTTTAATTTTTTTGTAGAAAAGACATTTATTAGCAAGCTTATGAGTTGTTGGTAGGCAGGGGGAGGGGGGAGCTGACCAGTCATGTTTCAGACAGCTGGGCATGAATTCTGAGTTCCTCATCTAGGTGTTCCTTTGCATTGGACCACTTTTGACTGCAGATAGAAGTCACCCATGGATTTATCATTCACCTTAATAAGTGGGTGTTTGTAGTTCTGTTACCTCCTCAGGACTCAGCTTGGAGTCCTTCCTGGTGGCTGAGGCCAGAGAGTTTGGATACAGTTGCAAATTGGTGCCTAGTGTGTCCCTGGGCATCAGCTGCTGCAAACTCTTGCTGTAGGGCCTGAGCAAAAGCTATGTCCACGATTTGCACACCCATCACAATGATCTGGGTCAGGTACTTGGCAGTGATGGCTGCTCTGCCTCAGAGGTGCCGGTTCGAAATTTTTTTTTTTGTGGTACTGGGGTTTGAACTTAAGGCCTCTGGCTTGAGCCATTCTGCCAGCTTGGTATGGTTTTGTTGTCTTCATTTATCTTTACAGTATTCCTGGTGAGTCCTAGAAGCTTTGCTGCAGAGTTGTCCTTGCCTGTTCATCTTTCCTATTTCCATTTCCAAAGCCATTCACTAAAGTTAACCTCTAAAATTCGTTATTAAAGAACTTGTTTTGCTCACATCTCTGTGTTACTGATACCTTGAGAGCAGATGAGATTCAGACATTCTTGGTCCTCTGCTCTCATGTAAACTCCTAAAATGGTATTTAGTTGTGATTTTCAGACTGTAGAGCTGTCCACAACCATTTCTGCTTCATGAAGTATACTCTGTTGTTTAGCGTTTATAGAGATTCTCCTAGGAACTTCATCTGTGTGTCTGTCCAGGCCAGTTAGAGGTGCACATCTATAAATTAAATTTCACCTGGAATCCATTCCCAGGCTTCTCAAGACTTTGTCATGGATCTTACTTAATTTCCATAAATTACAGGTTTTATTAAACACTGCTAAATCTCTGGTAATCTTAATTTGATCAGACTCCTAATATTTAGAGTTTAAAGTAACTTTCTCAAATCTAGTCAGTGTCTGCTTCCTTGACCTTGCATTTAAATTGACCTCATTACAACAAACAAGCAAAACATTGATATTTTTGTTTTTCCTGTGGATCCTCCTTCACCAAATTCTCATCTTCCCAATACCTCCATTGTCAGGAGTGGTAGCTTTGTGAGAGTACTTTAAGCTCCTATATCAATAATGAATTCCATGTATTCTGGTTGTCAGTCACCTTCTGAAATGCAGGCTATTATGATCTGGTGAGGTACAAGGATGACTTTATAAAATTGCCAGATCCAAGGGTCCAGGCCTTCCTAAGCTTGGTCCTCTATTCTGTGATTTGATTGAACTTCTCTTCCCTCCAACCAAAATTACGTTATCCACGTCTGAGCCATAACCAGAACCTGTTAGAGCTTCTGCTTTCTCATGAGAGCTGGGAATCTTTAAGTTGATGCTGTCAGAGTTCTTGGCATTATAATTTGGACAACCTTGTTATTTACTGTTGAAAAGTGCCCTGATGTGATGCCTAGTTGACCAGTATCCCCAGTTCCCTAAATCTGTATCAACTTTTCTACCTATAGGTATTCTTCTGTCTTGAATAAGCCCTTACATTCTTTCTCAGGGCCACTTTGATTACTCCAAACTTTAGACATGCAGTCATCTTTTCTGCTCACAGGCCCATGCATGAGTTTCTCTGATATATTCTTCCAAAATTAATCTTGTTTTCTTTCTCTCTTTTCCTCTCTCTCTCTCTTTCCCTTCCTTCCTCTCTCCCTTCCTTCAGGCTTGAACTTAGGGCTTTGGTACTTTCTAGGCAGTTACTCTACCACAGCAGAGCCATGCCCCCAGCCCAGCTGTGTTTTTATCTTGATAGCAATGAATGGATGAATGTTCTAATTCTCTGTGAGGCTAAACTGGCTAGATTGTTTTTCCTGAGTTTCTTAGCTTGCCCACCTATACTGATAATAGGATGCTGTAATTTGAGATTAACAGTGTTTCCTGGAGCTTGCTATCTAAGAAGAGTCTTAACATACAGCTTAGGAAAGTATAATTTAGGTTGCATTTCTAAAACGTTGATCTCTAAAGTTATTATTGTTTATTTCTATGTAAGGCTATGTGGTAAAAAGATGGAAAGCCCCTGAAAATTTATTGTACTTTTTCAGTATTTTAGGAAGACATGAAAGGTAAAAGGCACCAAAAATGAGTTTGGCTAACAATATTTCTATTTTTGACCTAGAATTCAAGATAAATTAGCTATTTTGTTTTCTTTTTAAATAGGGTTACACATCGTTTTGGAATGACTGTATATCATCTGGATTACGTGGCTGTATGTTAATTGAATTAGCATTGAGAGGAAGGTTACAACTAGAGGCTTGTGGAATGAGACGTAAAGGTCTTTTAACAAGAAAGGTAAGATTTCTAAATAAGATCCTTTTTAAAGAATTTGAACTGCTTAAAATGAAGAATGTTAGTTTTTAAAAATTAACGTGATTTTAAAATTGTCTTTTGGGTTGCATTTCCATACCCTTTTTGCATTCTTGGTTTCCTGGTTCTTTGTATATATAGTAAATAATGTAATTCACTGTTTGAATCACTGATCACTTCCTCTTACATATTTAAAAACATGCTTAACTTCATTTGCTGCTTCAGAAAGCTGTACTTATGAAGGACTTGACAGAATTTAGGAAAAAAAACTTGAGTTACTGTGCAGATTAACTACACATAGGCCATTGATCTTTCTAGCAGACTATGAATACTGTTCAGATCTTCTCCACCTTGAAGGTCTGTGGTAAAAAAGGGGTAGTATTGGCTAGTTTTTAGAATTTTTAACTTCAGCTTCAGTCTCAAATATTCAAGACTGTTTCTTTTCCAGTCTGTTACTGTGTTTCTTAGAGGCATGGTGTTTCAGAGCTATTTTTTTTCTTTAATATACTATGTTAATCCAAAAGTTTTGGCCTTGTTTTGCCATCACTCGCTGGAGTTAAGAGTTTTAGGCTCTTTTCAGGAGTACATTTTAATTTTTTTCTGGCCTTTTCTAGAGTAATTTTGCTTTAGTGCAACACTAATGGAACCCTTACAAACATTTAACTGTACCTTGACCCTGGAGTCTTTTTTTAGGATGGCATACGAAGAAAATTCCCCAGCGGGCTCTCACCCAGAAACCTTGTTAAGGGACCTTCATAACTTGACCCTCAACCCTCATCCCAGGTTCCCTTCCACTCTACCAGAAGGTCCAGCCTCAGTGCCAGACAGAAGTGAAAGGGTCCTACAGGAGACCAGAGGTGACGCTCCCTACAGGCAGAGAGGGGTCTGGACTTTGTTATCTGCAGGGAGAGAACATATGGCCAAGTTGAGAGCTCTCATGGGGAGCATACTCAGCTTCAGAGAGAAAAGCTAAGAGATAGTAATTAAAGGCGTTCAGAGTGAACCATTCAGTGTGCCATTCAGATGTACCTGAAGTTACCATGGGTGGGATCCTTCTGAGAATGCTAGAATAGTAGGGAGTGGTTATGACAGAGAAAAGAGTCAATTTAGGCTTAAATCTTTTTTTTTTTTGGTGGGACTTGGGAGTTTGAATTTAGGCTTAAATTTTATGCCGTTTTCCTGCTGGTAATTTAATGCAGCATATTGAAATCTATATAACTGATGTATGTGATATGACCTTGTGATTCTCTTGTATCTTTTTTACTTTCACTTTTTTTTTTTTTTTTTTTGGTTCTTGGGATCTTCCTACTTCTGTCGTTAACTTACAAAGGATCTGCTTTAGTTCTGCATTTTGATTTGATCCAACAAAGCACCAGTAGGTCTCACGTCTTTGTTTTAGAAGCCTAAAGTCTGTGAAATGAAATATAACCTGAAGGGATGTGAGGAGAACATGGGGTAGTCTGGTTAGAGTGTAATAATTAGGGTAGGTAACTATATTTTCTCATTTTAAATATTTGCCATAAAAGGAATTTCTGATGGTATTTTAATTTTCAGTACCAAATGTGTTTAAAAAAAAAAAAAACAACCCACAGAAGTTCCCATTCCCCTTCTCTTTCCTTCCTCTTTTGGGTGGCAATACTGGGATTTAACTCTGACTTGTGCTTGTTGGGCAGGCACTCTACCACTTGAGCCAAGCCACCAGCCTGAACATTTTTTTAATTGATATGGTATAGAGAATAATAATCTTGTAGGAAAGAAAGCCATTAGTGTATTCATAAAAGTTATATGTAAAAAGTAAACATTGATGGGTTGGGGTACATGTAGTTCAGTGGCAGAGTGCTTGCCTAGCATACGTAAGGTTCTAGATTCAATTCCCCAGGGAATTGAAGAGACAGTAAACATGGTGTATTAAACTTTCTTTCTCTTTTTTGGAGATAGGGTCTCACTATGTAGACTAGGCTGGCCTCAAAGTCAACCATTTTTCCTACTTCAGCCTTTCTAGTGCAGGAATTACAGGCATGCACCATAGAAAATATTTTGCAAGGATTTTATTTTACTTTAAAATTTCTGTTATCCCCCGCCCACACCTTTTAAATGAGGACATATTAGTTGCACAGTGAGGAGTTTCCTTGTGACATTTCCATAAATGCATATAATATACTTTCGATCATATTCACCCACTCTGTTACTCTTATCCTCCTTCCTCCCCCCCCCTTTTTAACCTTTCTTGCAGTTTCTTAAAATGGGTTTCATTATTAACTTCTTCATATATGCATACAATGTACTTGTATTCATTTCCCTGTGCTCTTTCTTTTCCCCCTCCATTTCCTACTGGTTCCCCATTCCCCAGTAGTCCCCCATTTTTGTTCATAGAGATTTAAAGATTCAGTCTAGTCATTAAAGTCAAGTAAGCTGGCATGAGATACTGCTTTAGATAATGATATCAAAAGGCATAACACATTTTTATTAGGTTAATAACCTAGGAAGCTGTCATAGTAATCAATGAAATAGAACACAGATTACTACTAATTGTAGTAATTTAATCAATTTTGCATGAATGTTAGAGTTCCGACCTAAAGTGGTGAAAAGATTGTAATAACTGGTTCTCTGTGTGGTCAAGAAGTATTTTTGTGTTATTATTGACTGATTATTCTTTTGTTCATTCATCAATACATTCAGTACTTAACTGCACTGTGCACTGTGCCAGACCCTGAGATACATGTTCCCTGACTGCATGGACTTACTACTTCAGTCTACTGGTTTGAGAGATCTGAACTAGATAGCTAATGTCTTTTGGGAAAATATTCCATATGATTTAATTTGCTAATTTAAAAAATAATTAAATTTTCAAATCAAGTTAGTACATATATAATAGCTGTAAAGCCAAAGTTTTCTCATAAAAAATAGCAATTGTCTGCCTGTCTTTTCTTATTCTTTAGCTCTGGTCCTGGGACACAACCATTTTTAGTCCTTATATTAGCATCATAGGGTTACCTTAGCAAATTATCACAAACTTGGTGGGTTAAAGCAACAGAAATGTATGGTCTCACAGTCCTGGAGGCCAGAGGTGTGGAAGTTAGATGTGATGTGTTTTCTTTGAAAGTTCTAAGGTAGACCCTATTCCTAGCAGTTTCCATCTATATCTGTCTCTGCCTCTTTTTTTCCTGTTTTTCTCTTCTTCAAAAACAACTGCCATTGAATTTGGGTCTTGTCTGATAATACGTGATGATGTTATCTTAAGATGCTAATTTCATCTGCAAAGACCTTTCCCCCTAATAGGTGCTGGGGTTTAGGGCATGGATACTTTTTTGGGACTCCCTAAAAGTCACTGTCATTTACTATCAACTCACTCATTCTCATTGCTTTTAGCATTTACCCTCTGTATTGCAAATAAGCATATAAACTGCCTTCTCTTTGATAAATCAGTTTGAGTGAGAAATTGCTTACTTTTTGCTAGAATAGGTGAATATTTGTCTCAGGGTACTGCCTTCTTTCACATGCACCCCCCACCCCCAATTTAGTCTTTCTAATTGAAATGTGTCATAAATTTAAATTTTTTGGAGAACAGTGATAATTTATATTGTTACATTTATGTTGATACTTTCTGTGGAGTTCTATCCTGTGAGATTTTCCTTTCTTCAATAGCATTTTTTTTATTCTGGAAAAATACGAGAGAGGACAGTCACATTTTAAAAGTAATATTGTTACATTTCATATCATTTTAATAGCTAATGTATGGCTAGAAATTTGTTGCTTAGCTAGCATAATGAGTGAAAGCCATGGGAATCCTGTGTTCTCATATTCCTGTCTTGGATTTTTCTACTCTTAAGATGGGTCCTTTACTGTAATACTTGGTTTTTTTTTAAGTTGTAGTATTTAAATTTTTATTTTTGCTTTTTTCCTTTTCTTCCTTCTACGTGCCCTGTCTGTATTTAATTTCTTTCTTTTTTGGTGCTGGAGATTGAAAATTTTTTTTATGCAATCAATCATACCAGTATTTTCTTGAAAGTTTCTGCTAGTTGGTGGCAGTTTATAAAAACCTTTTTCATTCTCCAAATTATATTTTCTTTTAAAATCTTTTATGGTGACATAAGCTCAGAGGAGCCAAGTCTTCTTTTTGCTTCCAGTTTGTTAGCAAGTTTTTTTTTTTTTATTTATTCATTTACTCATACATTGACATACATGACATTGGGTCATTTCTTCCCCCTGCCCTTTGCCCCCCTCCCCCCCCAGCAAGTTGTTTTAATGGCATTTACTGAAAAAAGTTTTCTGCTGATGTTATTTACCACCTTTATCATATAATGAATTCTTCCATATGATTTGAGTCTGTTTGTAGAACTAATAATGTTTAAAAAATGAATTTCTGGGTTAAATAACCCAAGGTTCAGATCAAATGAAACTGTAGCATTTACTTTACTACTTATTGCACTGTAGTTTTATTTTCATTCAGTTGTATCTAATCTATTAGGTTAAATATTGGATTTCCTTAACAGAATTAATTTAAAATCTGAACCTTGTTGCTACATGATGAGTTATTTATGTTTTTTATTTACTGAATTCATGCCCGAAAAAAGTCATCAGTGGATCATTTCTGATCACTTATGTTTTAGGTGATCTGTAAGTCGGATGCTCCAACAGGAGATGTTCTTCTTGATGAAGCTCTAAAGCATGTTAAGGAGACTCAGCCTCCAGAAACGGTCCAGAACTGGATTGAGTTACTTAGTGGTAAGCTGCTGTGTAAAAAATAAAACTTGAGTTTCATTTAAAAGAGTTTGTAAAAATTTAAAATCCTTTTAAAAGAAACCTATGAAAAATAGCCATAAGCTTGTTTAGTTTTTTTTAGGACTAACTCAAAGGTTATCAGTTATTTAGGGGCAGGGGGAATAATATTTTTCTATAAAATTTTAACCTCTTTCACAGGAGTGAGCAAATGACTGAAATGTAACATTCTTCCTTCAAGTTCCCATCATGCTTCATCAGAATTACTGCCTACTGCTTACTGTTTAGGATGGATTAAGCCAGGGAGATGCTCCACTCAGATAATGGTCATTGATCATATGTTGTGTGTACTAATGGCACACTGGGCATTGGGCTCTTGGTTAACAACATGTCTTGGACCACTAATTTCCTTTCACAGTGGCATACTACAAATTAGAATTGGCACATAGTGGGGCTGTGTTGACATTTGAGATGATGTTAAGATGCCTTTACCTAAGTTGCATTTGTGAAAGTATGTTAATTGAACTTGGTTCTCAGTGTAGGCTGCCATTGCACAATTGACACTTGATTGATCAGTGAAGAGCTGAGAAGTCTGTAATACTTCTTTTCTCAGAAGTATTTAAATACAGTTAGGATTTTTTAAAACAGAATTTGGGTAAATGTAAAGCTAATATTTGCCAAGTGTTTCATTTTAATACCCTGTGAATTTTAGATCGGCTGTTAATGCCAGAGCATTGCCTGGAGCAGTTTAATTGCTTGCTTTTGACATACATTAGGAAGGAATTGCCCTTTCAGCAGAAAAATAGGTAATCCAAAGTGGGAGAAGAAGAAAAAGCACATTTCTTTTAAATTAAGGAGATACTGAGATACACTCAGTGGTAGAGTGTTTGCCTAGCGTGGTTAAGGCCCTGATTCATTTCCTAGCCCTGAACAAGCAAGAAGAAAATAATCTTATTCCACTTTATGAAAGTACCAAGATACTAGCTTACTGATTAAAAACATTTTTTTATTGTGGTCAAAAATAGATAATGTAGCACTTAATATTTTAAGCTTTTTTTTTCTGGTGCTGGAATTTGACTTCACACTTAGTAGACAGACGCTCTACCACATGAGCACCACCCCTTCCCAGCCCTTTTTTGCTTTAGTTATTTTTCTGATAGGTTCTTGTGTTTTTGCCCGGGGCCATCTTCAGACCAAGATCCTCCTACTAATGCTATTCATGTAGCTGGGATCATAAGTTTGACCCACAACACGTAGCTTGCTGAGATTGAGGTCTCACTAACTTTTTTGCTGGGGCTTGCCCGCAACCTTGATCTTCCTGAGTAGCTGGGATTTCAGGTGTGCGCCTGGCCCCATTTTAAGAATTTCGAAGTATACTTTTCTGTGGCCAACTTGGTGATTTTTTTATTTTTTGATTTTTAATTAGAGTGCTTGCCTACTGTGTCTGTGATCCTTAGTTCAGTCCCCAGCATTGCAGAAACAGCAATAACAAAAAAGATAGTACAGGGTATCAAATACCATTTGTTATAACAATACTGACATAGGTGATGTGAAACTTAAGTACTTTCAGATTGAAAATCTTAAATCCATTTGGGAAACAGTTACGTATCTCTAATAATTTGATAACAGAATTTAATAGTATTGTCTCTGAAAGTTTGGAAGCTAAAAGAGCAGCCAAACTTGGGAACTTCAGTGGTTGAAGGAGAAAGTAGACCTTGGATTGGACCTTTGAAGGGTAAGAATTAGACAGAAGGAAATGTACCTTTTCAGAAGGGTTAGCGGTTGTGATAAAATTGTTGAATGGGTCCTTACTTGCTGTTTGATTCCAAAACCGTGTACTGTCCTGTATCATTAAGGGAAATGTGTGATTATATGTAAAGAAAAGAGAGTGACTAACACAGGTCTTGTGGTTATCTCTGAGGCAGAGGTGGCTCACAGGAGGCTTCTAATACACAAATAAAGAAGGGTATTAAAACAAAAAAATTAATAAAGAAACAGAGGTTTTTTACCTGAGGTAGGGAATATTCAGAAGCTCATTTTGTTATTATACTATACGTATATTCATGGTAAAACCTGGTATATTTTAAACAAACATGCATTTAAATATGTTACTTAAAAATAGTAAGTGTGCATATATTCAAGGCAAAGACTTTTTAAAAAAAAAAAAGGTCTAAAGACTACTCTGAAATTTTAAATGTGCTTGATAAACTTGATCAGAAGGTGTCACTAGACTGCCAGACTTATGAAGGAAGCTGCTTATAGTTTTGTAATGTGTTTAGGAAGATAGTTTTTTGTAGTGAAATTATTTAGGCACTCGTCACAATGAAGTGATTGTTGGACAGCAAACATAACCTTTGAAGAACTTTCTTTTCATATATGCTTCTTACAATTTCCTTTACCAAAAAAATGAACTATAAATAAATTCTGTGCATTTACAATATTCCTGTATAACTAATCAAGTCTTTTCACATATCTGGTGAATAATTAGTGCCTGATGAATAACAGAGTGGATCACAGTGTTTTTTAACCTAGGAAAATTCATCCGTCTCCATTCATCAAGTATACTACAAAATGTTTAAAAGAATTTCAGTATTCTTAAATTGGAGCAGTTGAATCTTTAGCAGCTAGTATAGATTAAACCTTTATTTTATCCTCACTCGTCCTCCCATTCCAACTTACACTGGTGTCTTAATTATGTCAGGAGTGACTTTATTTTTTGGATTAGTTTAATTTGCTTTTCTTTTTCAAATAAAAGGGAGAAGTTTTAGGATATGAAGATACTCAGTTATTTCTATGTATCTTTTTTTCTGTACTACAAGTAGTATTACACAGTATTTGAGATAATTTCCCATACTGTTTTTAGCTTTCTGCTTATGAGATTTCTCTGTTTTTTTTTTAATCTGAAGAGATCTGAATAATCTTCATTTTTTATATCTGAGGAGATCTCTAAATAACCCATTTTATTTTTTCTATATGAGGAGATCTGAATAACGCACATTTTTGTTGGAGTGAGCACAACAAAAAAATTCCAGGGAATTGCAACAAGAGAAGATGATGGCTTGGTCCCTTTTTATTGCTTCCTCTGAGGCAGAAATTGTTTTTCCATAAGGAGGCCCAGTCATAAATGGAAAACCTTATTTGAAGGTGGGTCTGTGTTTAGGTTTTTCTCATTTTTAGTAGCAACATTAAACTATAAGTTACCATACTTTGGAGTTGAGAAATTTCTCACAGGAATTTTGTAAGTATTATAAGTTCCATTAGTTACAGTATGTAAGATTTAATAAATCTTAGTATGACTTCAGTATAATAGGCAGTAGTCATAAACTGTTAATCCCACTAATTGCCCTTGAGGAAAAATAAATCATTGTATAGCAGCAGGGAATTTTTTTAAAGCCTGTAAAGAGCTTTTCTTTTGGCAGAACTGGGGTTTGAAGTCGGGGTCTTATGTTTGCTAGACAGGCACTTTATCACTTGAGCCTCAACTCCATCCCAACAAAGAGAAATTTAATTATGGGTCTCTTAGAATTATTCACTTCTTTATTTTTTTTTCCTATTACTTGGCAGTAGATGACCAACATGTTCTCTGGGGCATAAAATCCCATCCTGTTTGACTTCCAAGTTAGAATACAGTTGAGCTGCTTGTCATTTGTTGTGCTACACTTTGATTTTGTGACAGCATAAGCATATTAAGCCAGTAATACCTAATTAGCTAGAATTTTGAACTAGTATGTTGGTAATTTACAAATTACTGTATGCATAGTTAATTTTAGAATTGAAATACAGTTTTTAAAATAGGCTTTTTATAAATTTGGCTATTTTATGTTGTATTAGTTTAAATTCTCAAAAATGAATTAATGCAATCTATTGAATTCTAGCTTAGGCTGACACCTCCCTACCACTGCCATTAAGAAACAAAAAATAAAACCCAAACTGTCTGGTGAAATAATTCAGCAGGGAGGCATTTATTGGAGAGACATCGGATCGGCATAATGAAAAATGAGAAGTCACACCACCTTTGAAAGAGGTGTGCCTCCACTCCAGGGCTGGTGTATATTCCACATGTAATCGCTGTCTGTGTGCTTTGTGGTTTCTTCTGCCTGGAATCAGGCCCCTCCTCTTTTCACAGAATGTTGAATATTCCTGGATTTCTAGATTACCTTCAATAACCCTTTCCCCTGTAACTTTCTTAGAAGGTTATATTTCTTAGAAATGTTCTTTAATATTAAACCCAAGTCATTTCTAATTTCCCTGGGAACTCATATTGTTCTTAGGACCCTATTCCCATTTTTTTCTATCTACTTACATTATGGATGTTTCCTTTACTTTTAAATTTCTATAGGGTTAGGAATATGTCTTAATTTTATACTCTTGGCACCTAGAACATTATAAATACTGTATATTCTTGGCATTTAGAGCATTGTAAATACTGTTGATTTACATATGAGTAAATAATAATAGGTAACATTGAGAGTTTACCATGTATCAGGCTGTGTTCTAAAAACTTGCTATCTTAACTCAGTTAATCCTCATAACAGCCCTGTTGAGCTTGACACAGTTATCTTCACTTTACAGATGAGGAAACGGAGAAGTAGAGAGGTTAGGACCCTTGCACAAGGCTGCACAACTAGGAAATGGCTAAGTAGGGATTTAAACCTAACCGGTCTGGCTACCAACCTGGCTACAGAGCCTGCTCTTAAAACTTGTCATGCTATACTGCCTCATCAAGTAACTGTTACTCATTTCTTAACATTAAACGTAAGTATGAGCTTGTTGAACAGTAAAAATTGAGATAAATATATTTATGCAATTATGTTTTTTTTTCAGTGATTTTTTTTTTTCAATCTAATGTGGCCCCAAATATATTTCAGCTCTCTTCCTTTTTGAAAGTCAAAGAAACTGAATGTAATGTTTTTGTTGGTGGTGGTGGGTTTTTTTTTTTTTGTTTTTTTTTTTTGTGGAAACTGATTTGTCAGGCCTGTTTGGGAAAAAAAAAAATCTATAAAGTG